GGGTCATAAGATAGTTTCATTTTTAATTTTTTGAGGAAACTCCATTCTGTTTTGCACAGTGGCTGCACCAGTCTGCATTCCCACCAGCAGTGCACTAGGGTTCCCTTTTCTCCACATCCTTGCCAACACTTGTCATTTATTGATTTATTGCTGATAGCCATTCTGACAGGTATGAGATGATATCTCATTGTGGTTTTAATTGGCATTTCTCTGATAATTAATTATGTTGAGCATCTCTTCATATGTTTACTGACCATCTGTATGTCCTCTTTGGGGAAGTGTCTATTCAGGTCTTTTGCTCATTTCTTATTTGGATTGTTTGTTTTTCTTTTTTCTTTCTTTTTTGGTGTTGAGTTTTATAAGTTCTTATTAATTTTGGATATTATCAGGTGTAGTAGCTAATATGTTCTCCCAGTCAGTGCATTATCTTTTCATTTTGTTGATTGTTTCCTTTGCTCTGCAAAAACTTTCTAGTTTGACGTAGTCCCATTTGTTTATTTTTTCTTTTGTCTCCCTTGCCCGAGGTGATATATCAGAAAAAATATTGGTACGAGAAATGTTTGAGATTTTACTGCTTATGCTTTCTTCTAGGATTTTTGTGGTTTAGAGTCTAACATTTAAATCTTTAATCTATTTTGAGTTTATTCTTGTGTATGGCGTGAGAAGGTGGCTTAGTTTAATTTTTTTGCATGTATCTCTCCAGTTTTCCCAGCATCGCTTATTGAATAGACTATCTTTACTCCATTGTCTGTTTTTTCCTCCTTTGTCAAATATTAATTGACTATAAAGGTGTGGTTGTATTTCTGGGCTCTCTGGGTGGCTCCATCGATCTATATGTCTGTTTTTATGCCAGTACCATGCTATTTGGTTACTGTGGCCTTATAGTATAGTTTGATATCAGATAGTATGATTCCTCCCACTTTGTTCTTCTTTCTCAAGATTGTTTGAGTATTCATGTGTTTTTTGTGGTTCCATATAAATTTTTGGAGTATTTGTTCTAGTTCTGTGAAATATGCCATTGATATCTTGATAGGGACTATGGTGACTATATGGATTGCTTTGGGTAGTATGGACATTTTATAATTAATTTTATAGAGAGAGGAAGGGAGAGGGAGAGAGATAGAAATATCAATGAGAGAGAACATCGATTGGCTGCCTCCTGCATGCCCCCCACTGGGGATTTGGCCCACAACCTGGGCATGTGCCCTGACTGGGAATCAAACCGGCGACCCCTTGGTGCATGGGTTGATGCTCAACCACTGAGCCACACCGACTGGGCTGAATGGACATTTTAATGATGTTAATTCTTCCTATCCATGAACACGGTATATGCTTCCACTTACTTGTATCTTTTTCAGTCTCTTTCTTCAGTGTCTTACAATTTTTTGAGTACAGGTCTTTTACATTTTTGGTTAAATTTATTCCTAGCTTTTTTTTTTTTTTTTTAAGCAATTGTGAATGGGATTGTTTTCTTAGTTTCCCATTCTGATAATTCATTATTGGTGTATAAAAATTCAACTGATTTGTAGATATTTATTTTGTATCCTGAGACTTGACTGAATTCATATATCAGTTGTAGTAGTCTTTTAGTGGACTCTTTAAGGGTTCTATATGTACAGTATCATGTCATCTGCAAATAATGACATTTTTACTTCTTCCTTTACAATTTGAATGCCTTTTATTTCTTCTTCATGTCTGATTGCTGTGACTAGGATGTTTAGTACTATGTTGAATAAGAGTGGTGAAAGTGATATCACTGTCTTGTTCCCAGTCTTAAGGGTGATACTTGTAGGTTTGCCCGTTGAGTATGATATTGGCTGTGGGTTTGACATTGTTATATTGATGTATGTTCCCTCTATTCCTACTTTGCTGAGAGTTTTTATCATAAATGCGTGCTAGATTTTATGAAATGCTTTTACTGTATCTAATGATATGATTATGTGGTTTTTATCCTTCATTTTGTTTATGTAGCATATCACATTTATTGATTTGTGGATATTATGCCAACCTTGCATCCTCAGAATAAATCCCACTTGATCATTATGTATGTATAACCTTATTAATGTATTATAGGACCCAGTTTACAAATATATTGTTGAGGATTTTAGCATCTATGTTTATTGGGGATATTGGCCTATAGTTTTCTTTCTTTGTAGTGTCTATATTTGATTTTTGAATTAGGATAATTCTGGCCTCATAAAATGAGCTTGGGAATATTCCCTCCTGTTGATTTTTCTTTTTTTTTTTTTTTCGGTAGTAGGTTGAGAAGGATAGGTATTAGCTCTTCTTTGAATGTTTGGTAAAATTCACTTGTAAAGCCATTTGGTCCAGGACTTTTATTTGTTGGGAGGTTTTTTTTTTTTTTTTTTTTTGTTTTAATTACTGTTTCAGTGTCACTAGTTGTAATCTGTCTATTTAGATTCTCTGATTCTTCCAGATTCAGCTATGGAAGATTGTATATTTCTGGAATTCTTCCAGATTGTCCAGTTTGTTGGCATATAGTTGTTTGTAATTTTTTTCTTATATCCTTTGTATTTCTGTAGTGTTAGTTGTTTCTTCTCCTATTTCATTTCTGATTTTATATATTTGGGTCTTTTTTCACATATACAAACATTAGAGAACTCAAGTAAATAATGTGAAGAAACTTAAAAATTGCCCATTCTCCTTGGTGGGAATACCAGTGTTTGTTATAATTAAGTCTTTGTACTTTTCTGTACTTTTTTAAGCCTTGGGAAAGGTAAAAAACAAGAACACACTCACATACACACACACACATATATATATTTTTGTAGACATTATTGTTTCAATGCATGCAAACTATTGTATATATTCTAACAGTTGGGTAGTAGTCCATTTTATAGATAACAAATTTCTTTTTGAATCTTCTATTTATGAGCATTTAAGATGTTTCAGCTTTTTCTATCGTGAATAGTACAATAAATATTTTTGTATCGCACCTTAACACATTTCTGCAATTATTTCTATTAACAAAATCCTTTGTTCAATAAAAAAGTCTAAATTTTAATTTTTTATATATGTTGACAAATGATTTCCCCAAAATGCTGCATCAAGTTATTATCTTGAAAACAGAGTGAATATTATTATTTTTTGCCAACTGGTAGCTGACAAGTGTTAATTATTGTTTTAAATTAAGGCTCAGAATTTCTTCATGAAATTTAGGGCTACTTGATTTCTGCTTCCCTGCAATACCTATTCGGGTCCATTGGTCCAGAAGAAATTTGTTGCTGGAAAATAACCCACAATTTACAATTCTAATCAGGTTATACAGTTTAACCTTATAATGGCAGAAAAGATGCCCCAGAAATCCCTAAGGGAGACTCACATCATTTTCTCTAGCAAAATGAGGCCAAATTTGGAACTGGCTCTGTCTCCCTGTAAGCCATTTTCTTCCCCCCAGCAGCCTGCTTTTCTTAAGTCCTTTTGAGATCTCCTGAAAGTATATTTGAATTTTTGAGGTGCTGCTCTTTTTTTCATTGCTTTCCAGTAGTTTCAAACTCTGAAAGCCAGTGTTAGCACTTTCTCCCTGGGCTTAATCAAAGCCACACTATCTCTGAGGTGTCAGTAATTTCATTGCTGAGTACCACAAATCACTAATAATAACACATTATACTTGTATGTCTGTGAGGTCCTTTCTAATTCTTGGACTTAGATTGAGTTTATAGGTTTCTAATTATATGAGTCCTCAGCTTGTATAGCACTTTTATGTTCCTTTATCTCATGTGATCTTCATGACTCTGTGGTCACTTGTGAAAGAGGAAATCGGAAAGGTGTTCTCAACCTCATTTTATAGAAGAAATCAGAACTCCAAAAGATGAAATGAATTACCCACGATCATCCCACTAATGGTGACAAGATCCTTTGACTCTGAATTCTACGATCTTTTAAGGTTTTTAGATGCAAATAGAAATGTTTATAATTTTAATTTTATGCTGTAATCTGTAAGATCTTCTAATTCTTTGCCAATTGTTTGCATTTTGGGTAAGGATTTCCAGAACTTCTTTTTTAAAAAAGAGGCCCAGAAACATCAAAGGCATACCATTTTTAAGAAGGAAATTCATGATTTTCTACTAACATGTCAAAATGTAAAATTTAGGTTAAGATTAAGTTTATATAATTTATTCTTTTTTTTAAAGTCTGTAATTATATTGTAAACTCAATAGAAGGTTAATTATGTGTATATTTTGGCTTCATTTGATAGGAGTTTAAAGTTCATTTTGTAATGCATTCATTATATAGTCAAGGAAGAAAGGTGAAATGCATACCTAAGGAAACACATACCAATAAGATATCCTAGTACAGATGTCTTTCGAAATTCATTAGCTATTACTGATGAAGCTCCAGTTAGAACCATGCAGTTAGAACCACGTGGGAAATATGTTAACAGGGAATCAAGAGTGGGGAAAAAAAAGGTATCTGCTTTATATTAAGACTTGAAGTGTGTTATAATTGGGTTGAGTCTCTACTCAGATAGCTCCCTTCATGCTGACATCTGCAAAATGTATATAAAACTGTGTTGAGGTGTTATTTTCTGTGGCTGCATGGACACATGTTATTCAGTTAAAAACCAAGTTTTGGGGAGTCTTTCATGTTGATTCCTGCTAACCCATGCCAGAGAAAGCTTGTGCTTCCCCAATTAGGGACATTTCACTATTGGAAAAGAATCGAAATTCCTTAGAGCAGTTATAAATGTTTCGTCTTTGATCTGATACAAATCAATGACAACAGTTTGATTTGAGACTATCAGAGTCCACATCAGATTTATAGTACTGTGAAAATGTAAGTTGTAAAATGCTTCTTTTAACTTAAGTGGTGAAATGTCATGTTCAAATATGTCTTTTCATTTAATTGGTAATGTTCTAAATGAAAAGTTGAGCTTAGACTTAGTCAGAGAGAAATGCCTCTACCTATAAAAACTGTGACATATTTTAATTGGCTGCCACGTTTTACAATTTACTAACAATTGATGTACTCTTTGTCAGACAACAGAAAGATCAGAGTGAATGGAACCAAGGAACCCATAGAGTTTAAATCGAATCAATGGTTTGGAGCAACAGTGAGAGCTCACAGAGGAAAAGTGGTGGTGAGTATGAGTCGTGGGCTGCTGGGTGGTCTGGAATAAAGTGTACACTGAAATGCTTTAAAACTCATATTTACAAAAATCTTTTCTCATGCAAGAACATGTCAGACTTTCAAAGATGAGTTTATCAGCATTTTGAAACAGAAACTAAGTGCTTAAAATTAGAGACTCTATTTTAGCATTTAAAGCCATAGGAAATAAAGCTTGTTTTCCAGAAAATCAATGAGATATTTTCAAATGTTTCAAAAACAATTCAGGAAGATAGGAAAACAAAAACTCTATCTTAAAGTGGTACATTTAAGAGCTGATTAAAAATTTACCAGAAAAATAGGACTACTACTGATAGGATTCATTAAAAGTTGATCTACCATGGTGTCACTGATCCTTTTTAGGACGAAAGGAAAGCTTTATTTTAAAATATAACTATTAATTACATGGTTCTCTGAGTACATCAATACTTTTTAAAACAAAAATAAAAAATCTCACTCCCAAATAGATATCTTTCAGCTTTAAAATGCGATGACTTCATGATTCTATTCTTTTATTATTCTGAGCAGTGATACATGTTGAAGTTATTGAGAAATAAATGAGTGTATTAAGCTAACCTGGAAATTTTAAAAAATTTTCTTTTGTCAATTCTCACTTAAGGATATTTTTCCATTGATTTTTTTTTAGAGAGAGTAAAAGGGAGGGAAGGAAAAAGAGAGAGAAACACTAATATGAGAGAGACACCTGAATTGGTTGCCTCTCACCTGGGGATCGAATCTGCAAGACAACCCAGGTACATGCCCTTGACCACGAATAGAACCAGAGACACTTCGGTCCATGGGCTGACACTTGAACTGCTGAGCCAAACTGGCCAGGGCTAACTGGGGAAATTTTTTCATTGGGGAAATTTTTTAAACTGTTGGCTTTAATTTCCTCAGAACAATAAAGCAATAACTTTGGCTTTGAGGATTTTTTAAAAAGCTATTTAAATTGTGATTTAATAAGTATCTAAAGAAAATGTCTTGCTTTATTTGGTGTGTGGTTAACCCCCAAAAGATTTCAACATAAAACAGGTAACTTATAAAACATAGATAGCCTCTAGTTACAAACCCAGCATTTACAATATGCTCTCTTTAGAATTGTGTTTGCATTGATATGGTTTTCACATTCCAGAATTGGTAAAAAATTTTATCCTTTAGTATGTATGACTTATGTAAATTACTATTGAAAAGCTGATTCCATCTAATAAACTATTTGGGATTAGAAATTTTGAGGGGTTCTATATTGGTTCTTTAAAGTCTTAAAATTTTATCTGTAACATAATTGTGCATTTATTTGATATTTGTAGAAGCCTTCAGAATCATTGAAAATAAAATCATACATCATGTTTTATTTATTTAATTATTTATTTATTTTTAATCCTCACCTGAGGACTTTATTGCATTTCTCTTCAGATAGAGCAGGAGGGAGAGAGGTAGGAAGAGAGAGAGAGAAACATTGATGTGAGAGAGACAAATCAAGTAATTGCCACCCACACGACCCCAACTGGGGCCAGGGACAAACTGCAACCAAGGTATGTGCTCTTAGCGGGAACCAAACCTGGGACTCTCTGGTCCGCGGGCCGACGCTTTAACCACTGAGCCAAACCGGCCAGGGCCATACATCATGTTTTAATGCAAATGGTTAATTATGGGGCATGCTTACATTCTCAAGGAAAATGCATAGGAAATAGGATAATAGAGAGTATATTCAAGTTAATTTTTTCTTTGGGCACTAAAACTTAGCAGAATCAAGAATTAAATTTTACTCTTTGTGACAATTACTAGAACTTCAATTTCTACAACTTAAGTTTGGGTCAAAGCCAAATACATCACATCAGTCTATTTCACATCAGTGTGAAACAGAAGATATAAACAGGATAACATTTTAGAGCTGACAGCAGACAAACACTGGAAAGAATTTTCATGACATTTAAATGTCCTATGGTGACAAGGAAGGTGAGGCCAGCTGCCATAATGTGGAGTCACCCAGGTGAATGCTTGCAGTGCTCAAACCTTGCCTACTTTTCACCATTCACACCTTATGTTAAATGTATTAACCACATAATGTGTCAGTTCACTAAGAGAGCCTGAAGATAAGGGACTTAGATGAGTGAGAGAGTTTTTAGGTATTGTCCAAGGCCTCACAAAACATAGGGCAACAAATCCGAAAAACTGAAGTTGTTGGAAGCACCCTACTTATGTGACAGTATAAGTTATCTTTACTTAAAGTCGTTATACCTTGGACTGAATACCAAGGACACGTTTGGAATCATGAAAGGAATTTAAAATTGGGACCTGCTTTACTTTTCTGGCTTTGTTTTAAGTGTGATGTCATCAAATCAGGAGATAAGCTAGTGGTTCCATATGCTAGCAACCTGTAATTCTCTGTGCTTAGAAATGAGTTCTTGAATGATCACATAAAACACTTAGGAGGACTCGAGCTAGCAAAACAAAAATCAAAAAGGTGCCTATGTATAATACACATTTATTTTCATGGCCTCTTTAATTTTTAGCAAAATTAATGTTACTTAGTTTACTCAAAGAGGATTTCATATATCCTCTTTCACATTTGATATCCTTTCAAATACCACGCTAGTTATAACCTAAGCTTCTGAAGAAGCAACCAGGATATTTTACACAGGGATCATATTTTCCTTACTACTGTTTAAATAAATTTTTGGTTTACCATGAATAAAAACCGGTAAGTGAAAAAGAGAGCCAGGAGCACTGTGGTAAGAGTTTAGTGTATACAAAAGAAAGCCATTGTTTAAAAAATCATAAGATACACCTCCAGTGATAAACTAGGGGGAATCCACAGAACAGAGGTTTACAAACTTCTCTGCATCTTTTGATTTGAGAGTAGTTTTCTTAAAGCAACAATTAGATGAAGAATGGAACTTGTTCTCATTTTAAGGCAACACACTGATTAATTCACTGTTTAAATGACCATTTGCTTTTATGTAGCTCCAGTATTTTAAAAAATAGGAGTTCTTTGCTTTAAGAAAATATTTATTTTTGCCATTTTACTTTTGTTTAATTTAAAATCCTCTGGGGGAAAAACCCCATTCCTTTCTATATGTTTTAATTTGTTCCAATTCTGTGGTGCATTAATGTTAACAAATTGGCTTTAGAAGTTTAATAAACTGTGACTACCGAGGTCCTCATTAGCGTGCTGGAGACCAAATAATTCAGCTAATAATTAACATAGTTTGTCACAAATTTAGGTATATTAATCAACAAGTCAAATCAAGTCATAGAACAAGGAACCTACATCAAAACAATACTTATTGTCTTTGATACTTCACAGGCTTGTGCGCCCCTATACCACTGGAGAACTCTTAAATCCACACCAGAAAAGGACCCAGTTGGCACTTGCTACGTAGCAATTCAGAATTTCAGTGCATATGCTGAGTACTCTCCTTGTCGGAACAGTAAGTTATTTTTATTCCTTGAAACAGACATTTAGCTCAAGAACCTATCTGTTGTACACAGTGCAGATAACGTCAGAACACTGCTGGGAAAAAAAATGAGATGGGTATAAAGATCACTGACACTCTGACAGGATGCCTTGCTGTGACTTGAGGGCCAAGACATGGAATTCTGCTGATCCTCTTCTGTGTTTCAGAAAATGTCTGGGTTTTAGATATTTTGCAGTGGAATTGATTTGTTTCTTACCTCAGGCCTTAAACTCTCACTTGTTCAGAATTCACACGGCAATCTAAGGAATGCTGACTACCCACTTGTTAATCACAAGAATGGTGTGTGTTAGTGTAAAATAATAATAATAACAATGATAATAAAATAATAATAATATAAATGGAGCTGCTTTAAAATGGAGGCGGAGCCCTGGCTGGTTTGGCTCAGCAGTTGGAGCGTTGGCCTGTGGACCAGAGAGACCCGGGTTCTATTCCCGCTAGGGGCATGTACCAAAAAATAAAATAAATAAAATAAAATAAAATGGAGGTGGAGCTGCCCTCCCAGAGGAACTGCCTTACATGGCTTATGCCTCAGACCTTTGGAATGTTATAACAGGACAAAATACCCTTTGGACTGGGCCTAAAGCAACATTGTGTCCCTAAGAACTGTTTGCAAAGATAACAAGAAAGCAAATATGACTACCTGACGGCCACTGGACTGAAAATTAAAAACATTGTTTAGAATGATCGTCACTCTGTTAGCTTTTCTGCATCAATAGAAATTGATGTAATTGTTCTCCTTCCCTTTCTCATAAATATTCCTTTGCCTTTGTTTCCTGATCAGAATGCTATTTGGGGTTTTGCCTGAATCAGTAATTCCCAAATAGCTTTTGGTTTTTATCTTAAATGAATGCTTGTTGCCTCTTACTGTGACAGGCCTTGTGTTTTTAGGTTAGCAGTCGTGTGTGGGCCTGGGGACATACTGCATGTGCAAAGTCTGTGCAGCCTGTGCTTTCAGTGGCTGTTGCTTTCGGGTTATCAGCACGATACGATTTTCTCCTTTAGGGATTTAATCCCCATTTTTCAAAAAGACTCTCTACATGTAGAGTCCTCCTCTCATTTGGCAGTTCTAGGAATCTTCCAGGGAAGCATCCTTTAAAGCGAGTCTGTGAGTGACCTTTGGGGCACTGCTGTTTAATCACCTCATCTTGGTGGCATACCCAAGGACCTTGGGACATTTTTAGTGAACAACTGATACACTCAGAGTCCTTGTGCACTCTTCCATTTTTCTGTGTATCATGTAGGTCATTGGAATTTATCAGGAAGCAACCAGTGGATTTTTACTCTTTTTCTTTATAATTTACAAGACAGCATTGTGGAAAACGGCATTAGAAAGCTCATTCTAGTGGATAATTTCAGGGCATTGATTTTTTGAAACTCAATCCCAAATTAGATTCCCAAACTATAAGTCATATTTCCCGATTTCAGTTACTATTTTTAAAATTTGAGATTACTTTAGATGAGATAATGAGCAAGTATCAGAAATAAATCAATGAAGATAAAGGATGGATCAGTGACGATAGACAGTTAATAAAGAGACTGCTGAGAGACTTCCGGTCAAGATGGCGGCGTAGGTAAACGCGGTATCGCGTCCTCCCACAACCACATCAAAGTTACAACTAAACGACAGAACAACCATCATTCAAAGCCACCTGAAATCAAGCTGAATGGAAGTCCTACAACTATGGAATTAAAGCAGCAGCCACATCCAGACTGGTAGGAGGGGCGGAGGTGGACGAGCTGGTCCCACACCCACGTGTGGCGGATAAAAATCAGGAGGACACCTCGGCTGGGAAGGTCCTCCCTGAGGACTGAGGGGTCCCCATCCCACACCAGGTGCCCTGCTCAGGGTTCCAGTGCCAGGAAGAGAAGTCCCCATAACTTCTGGCTGGAAAAACCAGCGGGAACTGAGGTTCAGGGAGGCTGATGCAGCTGGAGCCACAGGCAGCTCCCTAAAGGGCCCGCGCCGGACTTATCGGACTCTCTCCCTCTAAGCTTGGAGGGGAGGCAGCTCGAGGGGCCCCAGAAACATACAGGGAAAAACTGAGCTCTTTGGCATTGGAGTGAGGGCTGGAGAGGGGGCTTTCTCAGGGACAAACTTGCTGTCAGGGGCCTTTGTTCCTTTGGTGAGCCCTTCCCTGGGGCGGCAGACAGCCGCCATATCTGGGACTCCAGCAACCTGGCTCACACTGGCGGCCCCGCCCTGCTGACTCCCTGAGGCCCCGCCCCACCCAACTTTCAGGCCCACCCAAGCTGTTGCCAGTTGCTTCACCATAGGATTGGCCTGTCTTGGATCCTGCTTCAGGTTTTCCTAAATTCTTTCAAACGAGCAGCATCTGGTCTCAGATAGCCCCATACCTCTTGTTAAGTAATACACAGAAACAAACACAGAGAGGCAGCCAAAATGAGGAGACAAAGAAATAGGTCCCAAATGAAAGAACAGAACAAACCCCAATAAAAGAACTAAGCGAAATGGAGATAAGCAACCTCACAGATGCTGAGTTCAAAATACTGCTTATAAGGATGCTCAATGAACTAGTGAGGGCCTCAAGAGCATAAAAAAGGACCAGTCAGAAATGATGGATGCACAGTCAGAAATGAAGGAGGAATTAACTGAAATGAAGAATAATTTACACAGATTCAATAGTAGAGTACATAACTACAAGAAGCAAACCATTGATTTGGAATATAAGGAAGCAAAAAACGCCCAATCAGAACAGCAAAAAGAGAAAAAAATCCAAAAAAATGAGGATAGTGTAAGGAGCCTCTGGGACAACTTCAAGCATGCCAACATTCGCATCTTGGGGGTGCCAGAAAGAGAAAAGAGAGAACAAGAAGTTCAAAACCTGTTTGAAACAATAATGGCAGAAAACTTTCCTAACTTGGTGAAGGCAACAGACATACAAGTCCAGGAAGCACAGAGAGTCGCAAACAAGATGAACCCCAAGAGGCCCACACCAAGACACATCATCATCAAAATGCAAAAGGTTCAAAACAAAGAGAAAATATTAAAAGCAGCAAGAGAGCCCTGGCCAGTTTGGCTCAGCGGTTAGAGTGTCCACCTGCGGTCCAGAGACACCCGGGTTCAGTTCCCTCTAAGGGCATGTACCTCGGATGCAGTTTGTCCCCGGCCCTGGTTGGTCGTGCGGTGGCAGCCACTCGATGTGTCCCTTTCGCATCGATGTTTCTCTCTCTCTGTCTCTTCCTCTCTCTCCCTCCCACTCTATCTGTACAAAAAATGGAAAAATGTCCTCGGGTGAGGATAAAAAAATAAATAAATAAATAAATAAATAAATAAATAAATAAATAAATAAAAGCAGCAAGAGAAAAGCAGTTAGTTACCTACAAGGGTGCTCCTATAAGACTGTCAGCTGATTTCTCAAAAGCAACTTTGCAGGCCAGAAGGGAGTGGCAAAAAATATTCAGAGTGATGAAAAGCAAGAACCTACAACCAAAATTACTCTATCCTGCAAAGCTGTCATTTAGAATCGATGGCCATATAAAGAGTTTCCCAGACAAGAAAAGTTAAAGAAGTTCATCACCACCAAACCATTATTATATGAAATGATGAAGGGTCTTTTTTTTTTTTTTTTTTTTTTATCCTCACCCGAGGATATTTTTCCATTTTTTGTTCAGGTAGAGTGGGAGGGAGAGAGAGGAACAGAGAGAGAGAGAAACATCGACGTGAAGGGACACATCGAGTGGCTGCCACCCGCACAACCGATCAGGGCCGGGGACAAACTGCAGCCGAGGTACGTGCCCTTAGCGGGAACCGAACCCGGGTCTCTCAGGACCGCAGGCCGACGCTCTAACCACTGAGCCAAACCGACCAGGGCATGAAGGGTCTTTTTGAAGAAAAAGATAAAATATATGAACAAACAAAATGGCAATGAATACATATCTATCAACAATGGAATCTACAGACAAAATGAACAGGCAGAAGAGAAACATTCTCATAGATACAGAGAAAATTTTGTTGGTTGCCAGAGAGGAGGGGGGTTGGGGGAATGGGTGAAAAAGGTGAAGGGATTAAGAAGTACAAATTCATTGCTAGACTGAAAGGGGTTGGGGGGGGGGTGGGAAGAAATAAACCAAAGAACTTACATGCATAGCCAATGGACACAGACAATAGTGTGGGAAAAGGTGGGAGGGGGGCAGGAGTGGGGAGGAGGGGGTCAATGGGGGAAAAATGAGGAACATCTGTAATACATTCAACAATAAAGATTTTAAAAAAAGAGACTGCTGAGATTTAGAGAGCTAAAAGATTGGGAATGGAACAGCTAACTTGGATGGTTTTTGGTGAGGATTTTGGTGAGAATTTTGGCATGAAGAAGATTATGACTTCTTGTTTTAAAATACTAAAGTAAATTAGCCACTTAATTTTATCTGTAACATAATTGTGCATTTATTAATATTTGTAGAAGCCTTCAGAATTATTGAAAATAAAATCATACATCATGTTTTATTTATTTATTTATTTATTTATTTATTTATTTATTTATTTATTTTTAATCCTCACCTGAGGATATTATTGCATTTATCTTCAGATAGAGCAGGAGGGAGAGAGGTAGGAAGAGAGAGAGAGAAACATTGATGTGAGAGAGACAAATCAAGTAATTGCCACCCACACGACCCCACCTGGGGCTGGGGACAAACTGCAATGGAGGTATGTGCCCTTAGCAGGAACCAAACCTGGGACTCTCTGGTCCGCGGGCTGACGCTTTAACCACTGAGCCAAACCGGCCAGGGCCATACATCATGACAAATCTCAAGTGAGTGAATGTCAGTGAAATTAGGATTTTACTTTAAATGGGTTTAAAGAGGGGTTTCTTGTAGATAATGAGAGTTAAGTATGTAATCATTCAATAAATGTTTATTGAGCCCATTGTGTAGGGTATAAAGCAGAAAATAAGAGAAAACAAACCTCTGTTTAAGAAACTTACATTTATTGGGGG